TACCATGACTCAGCTGATGTAGAGTAGTTTATTGAGCTGGGATAACTTCATCAAAGAAAGTAAAGCTCTGATACCTGCAGGCCAAGGCCCTGTTCTGCTGGGATTTGCAGTGATGCTCCGTCTGGGTGTGCATACATACAGTCTGAAAACAGAAGGTGTAAAGAACCATTCTAAATCAGTGAGGCTTTAGAATGAAACCAACAAAGAGAATGTATTCAGTCCTCCTGGAAACTCTCCTCCCTGTCTACTGAGTGCAGATGTACACTCTTTCTGTGTTTTTTTTTTGTACAATAGGTGAGCCAGGGCAGAGGAACTTCCCTCAGACTGTTGCATTTCTTTTTGTAAAGATGTGATAAGACAGAGAAATGTGAATATCCAAAGACAGTACTATTTGGAACTCAGTTAAAGATCTGTTCTTAAAATGAGTAAGTCCTTCTTCCCAATGAATAGTTCTGTCTTTACTATGTCTGTATGTAGCATCCACTTCTGCTCTGACATGAACAGAGTGAGCAATTGTGTTCAGCAGCCAATAAATGCAGGCCAACATTAGTCCCAGTATAGTAAGATAGAGAGAAGGTCTGATTCTGAGATTAAGACTATGGGGACTGGAACTCAGTGGTGGATTTGTTTTAAATGTTCGTCAACCTCCATCTTCTAAGTGTGGCATTTCAAGGTCTTCTCCTGCAGACTTACTGTACAGCAACTCCAGAAAAGCCGTGCAACTGGGCCTGCCTGTGGACAGGCACTATGGGTGCTTCATTTAAATGAAGCAAACAGCTTGAATTTTACCACATCTCGAAGGATCTTTTAAGGGAAACCAATTAATAGTTTGATAACACACAATGCAATTCCCTTCATCCAAGCCCTCTCCTCTCCCAGCAATGAATTGACTGAATCCTGTGATCATTCCTCAAACGTGTCACTGCACACAGCAGCGATCTGTAATTTGTGTACTGCAGTATGTAGCAGAACTATTTATTGAAGCTTGGAATTATGTTCTTTCAGTATTAGTTATCTGTTTATCAGGCATGTTTATCACAGTTTTAATAAATTACCAGTGTTGAAACTTCAGAAATGGCCTCTAGGGTATTAGCTACTGTGCTTTATTATTAAGAAGTTAGATTTCAATAAGATATTATTTATAATATATGTGCCTTGTCCTTGAGAAGAAAGCTGATGCTGGAAAAGGGAACTTAACTTTTCACTTTTAGACTGAGGCAGCAAGTCTTTATGGAGAAGTCCTAGAGGATTTAATAGGGAAGAAATAGCTAGTGTTATAGAAATGTTTTTACAGTACACATCATAGAAGCTGAAGTTAAACAAGAACCTTTTCATGGGCTTTCACATCCAGCCCTATAGAACTTCTTTCAAAGATTTTTTTTTCTTCTAAGTGCTGTAAGACCCTGCACATATTAATTTCTTTTAAATGCTATAGAATTTGCTCAGGGAAAAGTAGATTTACACTGGAGCTGTCTTGTATAGAGACTGCAAAATACATAGAAACATAGAAATAAACTTATAAAATGTATTTTCCATTACCAGCAAGAATCTATGGTTGGTATTTTAGAGGTCTGAAATCTGTTCATCAGTATTGATTAAAAGATGGGGTCTGACATCTTCTGGATGAATGAACTAGCCTCTGAGCAGCTACTGCGTGAGGGATTTGGTCTATACCCTGATTTAGCAAAGTCCTTAAGCATGTGGTTAAACTAAACTGGACAGGCAGGGTATGTAAATATTCAGAAGATATCAAATACAATGCAGAAACATGGTCCCTCCATGGTCCTTTCTTCCTAGACTTGGAGAAAAGTTTCCATACTTTGCTGTGAAATAAGCTGATAAAAAAAATATTTGTAAATGCATACAAGAAATGCAGAGATTTGGGGCCCATATAAAGAATGCAGGAAGCTGCCTTCAAAGCAAGTATTTTTTTTTTTCCAGAGGTTCATTTCTCTGAACATACTAGTGTCTGGTACAGTTACTTGAAAGGAAGATGTAAATAAATACACAGGCAAAGAAATTACACTGCCAGCTCAGGTCTCTAGTGCACAGTAACTGTCATATCAGAACACCTCCTGCCCTCCTTCCTCATGCATAACTCAGCAAAGGGGTGATGTGACTGGCACACTCTGCTCAGGGTGTCATGCAGCACACAAGCAGAAAACCAAAATCAGCTCTTACTCTGTGGGCAGATTGAGAAGTCTCCTGTGGGCACTGGTTGATGGAAATGGAAGCTACTGCCTTTAGCAATCCCTGCAGACCCAAGCTGGGGACATGAAGTGCTACTTCTGCTCCTGCTGACAGTAGCAGAAACCTGAGGAACTCAGTACTTTTAGAAAATCCAGAGCATCTCACAAAATCAGTCCTAGTGGGGTTTTGGTGGGGGTTTTGGTGTTTTTTTGCAGTAAGCCTGTACTTGGGGAGTTTTTAAGCTCCTTCCAAACATGCAAAATGTACACTCTAGTATTCCACTTCCCCACTTCCCCCCACACACACACTTAATAGGAGAGAACAACAGAATTCTAGGTCTGCCTGCATCTATGTAGCTTGCACAAAGTACTTATTTAGTGGAAGTGAGGCTGGTAACAGATGGATAGGTTTGTAATAAAAGATGGGTTTAATTTACCTGATAAATATGCATATGACCTCTTCCAGGCTTCACTTTCCACTTTTAAAGCAATGTTCTCATTTTGCTCAAAAACCTACAAACCTCAGTTGTGCAAGTACAGTGCAGGGATTAGTGTATGCTTAATCAATCCATATGTGGTGTTTGAAGTAATTAGAAATTGCTGGCCTGAATGTAGAAGCTGGTCCATAGAAGTTGAAGAGGTTTTCACATCAGTATTTGAGAATGCGCAAATGTTATTGTATCCTATTGACAATGGGACTTACTAGTCACAGGCAGGTACTTTGGGTGCCAGCATTGGGATGTACAGATGATTAAATAAATGTGCCTAGAAAACTTCTGGCAGCAGTGCATGCTATATGACTGATTTGACAGCACATGATGAGCTAGAATTTCTAGAGCATGCCGGTCTGCAGTCTGAACTGGGAGCAATCCGTGATCATTTGTTAGAGGAGACATCAGCTCTTTCTGTCTCTGAGTGTGACATCTGAATATGTAGATATGCACTGAGATTAACCACTGTGGCTCATCTCTTTATTTCAAGTTGGGCAGTGTGGCACCAGGTGCGTGTGGCTGTGCCCATGACTCTCTTGTGATGGTTCTCCCTTCATGTGGCTAAAGATGCATAAATAACACACAAATTCTTTGAGAAAATCTGCCTGTATGGAACTCAAGAACAGAAACAGAGATGGGAAGAACCAGCTGTCCATGAAAATAGGCTGAAGGAAAGCATGTTTAATTGCATTTTCAGTTCAGGGTCAAAGTTGCCAGTACTCTCATGCCTGTCTGGACAGCTGGCTGGGCAGTCCTGCTTGTGGTTTGCATGGCTCTAGTCTTACAAAGCAGCTGCAGCCCTGAGCTGGTTGTTTCATTCGTATGGCATATGAATTTGGTGTTCCCTCATTCTGCACATAAGCCATGTGGTTGTAGAGGAGGTCTTTAAGTATCTGGGAACACTGTTAGAAACTGCATTTCTTCTGGAAATGCAGCAAGGAAGAGATGGTGGAGAGCTTGTAAGATGGCAGCATGAGGAGCTGGCTGGAGTGCTCTTGGTAAGGATGTAAGGGGAGGAATTGCTTATATCTGGACAGCCTGAAGAGGCATTTGCTTGGTTGCTTAAGCACACAGCAAGTAGGAAAGCAGTTAAGAGAAAGTACATACTGTCCTGTGTTTGTATAAAGCCTTGCTCCCAGGTTTGTCACATCTTCCTCCAGGCTGTTTTTTATGACCCATGCCATTCCTCCAGAAGAGAGAGATGTTTCTGAAGATTTCTCTGTCAAATGTCCAGGATGTAGTTTGATACTGTGTAAAAATGAACTGAAGGCATAGTAAGAAGATTTCATCTGAGAAGGAGAGGTTTGGCTTGGACATACCAGTGAGTGGAGCACCAGCATTAACCAGGGAGTTTGCACAGAGAAGCCCAAGACAGCAGAGATGACAAAAGCGGGATATTTCAATCTGAAAAGACAGCTGGTTAGTCATGTAAAGAAACCAAACAATGCTGGAAATTGCATCTGAAAGCCCCAGGCTCAAGAGATCTGAGCCTGCCAGGACCTCTTACCAGATTCAACACACAGGCCATGACCACAGATGTGTGTGGGCTCCCGGGAGGACTTGGATACACTGTAGCTCGGCGGCAAGTGCATAGTCATACCTCGCAGGCAGTACAATTATTCAAACACATGTTAGCTCCTTGGCTTTGCAATTATATTTTTATTATTGACAAGATGTTCTGCTGTGCAAGGTTGTAAATATTTCTTTGAGCCACCAGAGGTCATTTGGGTTACTCAGCAGCCCTCAAGGTAGCTCCTCCCTGTCCTGTCAAAGACATGTGTGGGACTTGTAAAACATGTTCTAGATTGCCATGTTGCTTAATTATCCTCTTAGCTCTAATGAAGCGCACCCTGACTAGTGGTGCAGTCACAAACAACATGTTGCTATAATTTGGGTCATCACCAAGAACTTCAGTTACCACTCAGCTCATCAAGGTAGCATTTCAGAAAGCTGAAGGGCATTGCTACCTAATAAAAAAAACCCAACCACTTAGGCATCAAGAACATAGCTGGAGGGGACCAGTGCTCTGACGCAAGCTATGCTTACAGGATGCCCCAAAGGTCTGCAGTGCAGATGTCTGGCAGGGAAGGCTAGGTGTCACCTAGGAGGATAAATTCTTCTCCGTTGTGTTGCTGCAATCCCAAAAGACCCAGGGTTGCTGCAGGGAAGCAGCATTGATTGTGGAAGTAACCAACAATTTTTGTTTTCATTTTGTCCTGTCAAGCACTGTTAAGGTAAACTGGGCTGTATAATAGGAGTGCGCTGTCTCTGTCTTTGAAATGGGAAGAGGAGCTGCCTAATAAGATGTCTCTTTTCAGCCTTTTGTTTTTGTATTAAGGTTGTCAAAACTTGATGCAAAGTGCATAGGTACTGTGGTTAGGTGAATATGGGCTAGATTTGAGACTGGGGATCAAAATGCTGCTGCGCAGTTTTGCAGATGTCAAGTGCTCCAGTCAAAATTCCTTACTCTCCTGTGATGGCTCTCTCATTCAGTGACATATCCCCTGTCAGGATATGGCTAGATGATCCTTTCTAGCAAGGTCTTATCCCAGCTGTCACAAAAACACTGCTGAAGCACAAGCTTTTGGCCTTCAGCCTGAATTGGACTGTAGTACATGGGAGCTATTTCTCAAGCAACTCCCAGGGAAAGATCTGTGCTTTTCCCTTCTCCCACCAGATCTTTGCCTGTGCTCATAAATTCTTACTTCAAGCCAAATTGAATTGAATGCTCAGATAATGGAGAATGTACGTTTTTTCTTATTTTTTTTTCTTTTTTTTTTTGTCTTTTTGTGTATATGAGGTAGAAATATCCCTTCCCAAATGTTATATATAAATGCATTTCCTGGGTGGTGGCATTTCTTACTGCTCTGATGTCTTCATGGACCTGAGCTCAGGGTATGGGAAAATTCACCCCTTCTTCTTAGTGGTCTCCCATCTTTCTCTTACAAAATCCAGGATTTAGCATGTGTCAAGGGAATAATTTCTGTGGAAGCCCCATGTTTAAAAAAATATGTTGGCTGCAATGTGAAGGTTCAAGAAGAGTTCAGATCCAGACTGAACTTTGAAGCCATTTCCTGTGCTGGTAATGGACTGGGGGGAAGGAAACAAAAAAAGAAATCCTGGCTCTTTTGGGGGAGCTTTGGATTTGTATTCTGGCCCTTCCCTGTGTAACACAGCTGTTTTTCTTGTATTCAGAATGAGGTATTATGTATAGTATGGATGTTTATGTATATTTTCACCTCCAGCTAACAATACCTGCTTGGACCTGTTAAGACTGTTTTATAAAAGGTGGTGAAGGGAGGAAAATTGCAGAGGACACTGAATGGTTGGGTATGTTGCTGAGTATTTTAAATCTGAAAGTTCTCTCTAAGGCAGCTTTGCTGGTCTTGACTTTTCTTGTGAAGGAAGGGGCCCCTTTGCTCCAAAGCAGTCAGTTAGAGCCAATAGGGATCCCACATGCTCTCAGCCCCCAGTTAATAGTGCCCTCAGCCTTAATGCGTTTTACTCCATCTCAGGATCTGACCCAACTTGTCTGGCGTCACAAATCACCATCCAGCCTTCTCGCCTGCTTCCTGTCTCTCCAAGTTTCAACTGTCAGCTCCCAGTTGTTTTATCCAGCTTACTTTGCTGCAGGATTACTTGAAAGATGATAATCTTGTGGGTAAATTTAAGGAGACCAGCAGATTTTGCAGAACTACTGGGCCTTGCTGTAGGGAAGGTTTTAATTTTGGTGATGAAAGCTGGTGGTTTTATACAGCACTGTTCTCTTTGAATAGAAAGTGTGTGGGGCTTGTCTTGGACCTTCCAGTTGAATAATGATCAGAAGTTGCATTTACATGTAAATTAAAGTCTGTCCTGTGTTAATATTCCAGTTGCTTCTGTTTCTGGACTTCTCATCTATTTATCATTTGTGTGCACTGTGAGCACAGTAGGAGCGAGATACGTGTTTACTGTCACAATACTGCTTTTAAATTGGGCTGTATAAATTGGCTGGAGATACTTGCTCTTGTTTTGGGAGTCTCCAGACATGGTGGTTGATGGCAATATCATGTGACTTGTGCATTTTGGTTTCTCAGGCAACAGCATGGGGTTCAGATGAAGACACCAGGAGGTCCTGTCAAAGTAAAGGTAAAACAGAGGTAAGTTTTTCTTTGATACAGTGATGCTAGGGGTAAATTTATTTGCATCATGTGAAATCCGCACAGGGAACATCTAACACCAGCTTGAGCTTGTAAATTTTCAGCAGTTCAGATCTACCAATACAAGTGTATAAGCACCGCTGAGCTAGCCATTTCAAAGGCCCTCTGTCCAAGTTATTAGACTTGCTCTGCATGAAATTTAAACATGATTTCACTGCTGGAGAAGACATAATTTGTGACATATCAAGGAGGAAAGTGGTGGCGAGCCAGGGGTAACATCTTGCAGTGGGGTCTGGGGTGGGGCAGGTTGGCTTAGTCTAGGTACTCAGCAGTGAGCCGCTGGCATTTGGCCATATGGGCTTCAATGCTTGTTTGCAGTTAGAGTTCATCTTTGTTTAATTCTCTGGAATATGAGAATTGAATCTGTTAGTGCACAGCAGTCTGGTCAAGGGCAATATCAGAGCTCCTTTGGAGGCAGGTGCAGTCTCTAAACTCAGATTGAAGTAAGAATTGCTTGAATAAATGCATGCTGTCCAGAGGTTCAGGGTTTGCAGGCATTTCTGATCCAAAATCCTTTCTGCCTCTCTTCTGAGAAGCTAAAGCAAAGCCATCTAAAGCAGGAATTATTTTGATTTTTCAAATGTGATGTTAGTACTGTTAAAAAATCTTCAGGTCTCAACTGAGAGGGTGTCCTATTGTCTTTAATATTTCACACAAGCAGTTCTCAGCCTAAACCAAAGGAGCTGGACAAAGGATAAAGGATGATAAGCATGATCTTGGCTTAGACATGGACAGTCAAGCAGAGAGTCATTGTGTGGCTGGCTCAGAGTGCTGCAATTCTGACAAGTTCCAGTTCAGTGCTTCAAACACAGGATTATATGATCTTCCATTGACCACGTTCATTTTATGTAATAACCTTTACATGGTTACTGTATTAACTGGTATATACATAAAAATGTTATCTTGAACTTTGGGGTCAATTTGTTTCATGTAGCTGTAAAGCATAGTAGTATAGAACATCTGTTAGAATTTCGTGTAGGATCTACATTATGCAGGAAAACACCATGGATGCAAAATGGGTTAGGCCCCCAAACGGGGCCTGCCATGAAAAGAAGAACCCAATAGAAGTTGGACAAAACTAAAAAACTCCAAAACACAAGATGTGAGGATTTTTGGAATCTGTAGTCTTTGTACTTCCAAATATGTAAATAAAAGATTTTCTCTTTTCTTCCATTATAAAGTTTGTAAGACTTAAATTGTATCCTATTGTTCATGAAAAATTTTAATTTATAACCCAGAATTATTTTGTCAACCGCTGGATAAAGCCATGCATTAGACAGAACAAATTCTAGAATAATTTCAGTTTATCTTTTTTACTGTCATGCCAAAAGAAAGCAATGGTCTGAATATCATCTCTGCTGCTGCCTCCTCACACCACAGAGTTTGCCAAAATTGTCATGAGGATAATGCTTTGAACAGCTGAGTTTATGTTGATTGTGATAGAATCATAGAATAGTTAGAGTTGGAAAGGACCTTAAGATCATCCAGTTCCAACTCCCCTGCCTTGGGCAGGGACACCTCACATTAACCATGCCACCCAAGGCTCTGTCCAACCTGGCCTTGAACACCGCCAGGGATGGAGCATTCAGAACCTCCCTGGGCAACCATTCCAGTGCCTCACAACCCTAACAGGAAAGAATTTCTTCCTTATATCTAATCTAAACTTCCCCTGGTTAAGTTTTAACCCGTTACCCCTTGTCCTGTCACTACAGTCTCTAATGAAGAGTCCCTCTCCAGCACCCCTATAGCTCCCCTTCAGATACCAGAAGGCTGCCATGAGGTCTCCACGCAGCCTTCTCCTCTCCAGGCTGAACAGCTCCAACTTTCTCAGCCTGTCTTCATACGGGAGGTGCTCCAGTCCCCTGATCATCCTCGTGGCCCTTCTCTGGACTTATTCCAACAGTTCCATGTCCTTTTTATGTTGAGGACACCAGAACTGCACACAATACTCCAGGCGAGGTCTCATGAAAGCAGAGTAGAGGGGCAGGATCACTTCCTTCGACCTGCTGGTCACACTCCTTTTGATGCAGCCCAGGATACGGTTGGCATTCTGGGCTGTAAGCACACACTGAAGCCGGCTCATGTTCATTTTCTCATCGACCAACACAGAATCACAGAATCCCCAAATCCCAAGGGTTGGAAGGGACCTCAAAAGATCATCTAGTCCAACCTCCCTGCAAGAGTAGAGCAACCTAGAGTACATCACACAGCAACTTGTCCAGGAGGGCCTTGAATATCTCCAACATAGATCCAAAACCCCCAAGTCCTTCTCCGCAGGGCTGCTCTGAATCTCTTCTCTGCCCAGCCTTTAGCTGTGCCTGGGATTGCTCCGACCCAGGTGTAGGACCTTGCACTTGGCATGGTTAAACTTCATGAGGTTGGCATCAGCCCACCTCACAAGTGTGTCAAGGTCCCTCTGGATGGCATTCCTTCCCTCCAGGGTATCAACCGAACCACACAGCTTGGTGTCATCAGCAAACTTGCTGAGGGCGCACTCAATCCCACTGTCCATGTCAGTGACAAAGATGTTGAACAAGACCGGTCCCAACACTGATCCCTGAGGGACACCACTCATTACTGGTCTCCAGCTGGACATTGAGCCATTGATGACAACTCTTTGCGTGCCGCCATCCAGCCAGTTCTTTATCCACCAAGTGGTCCATCCATCAGATTGATGTCTCTCCAATTTAGAGACAAGGATGTCGTGTGGGACAGTGTCGAATGCTTTACACAAGTCCAGGTAGATGACATCAGCTGCTCTACCCCTGTCCGTCAGCTCCGTAGCCCCATCATAGAAGGCCACCAAATTGGTCAGGCAGGATTTCCCCTTAGTGAAGCCATGCTGGCTGTCAACAAGCACCTTGTTGTTTTTCATGTGCCTTAGCATGCCTTCCAGGAGAATCTGCTCCAAGATTTTGCCAGGCACAGAGGTGAGACTGACTGCTCTGTAGTTCCCCGGGTCATCCATTTTCCCCTTCTTGAAAATGGGGGTTATATTTCCCTTTTTCCAGTCATGGGGAACTTCACCTGGCTGCCCTGATTTCTCAAATATGATGGCCAGTGGCTTAGCAACTTCATTTGCCAGCTCCTTCAGGACCTGTGGATGGATTTCATCAGGTCCCATGGACTTGTGCACGTTCAGATTTTTAAGATGGTCTCAAACCAGATCCTCTCCTACAGTGGGCCCAAGGTCTTCATTTTCACAGTCCCTGCATCTGCCTTCCAAGACTTGGGTGGTGTGATCTGGAGCTTTAAACTGTTTGGTAGGCACAGTGGTCATGGGTGTGAAGTTCTGAGGAACAATAATTAAGCAGATTGTTAAGACACTTCTTGACATAAAATTGATGGCAAGCAGAGATATTGGCTGGAGAGTCTGACAAAAAGACATAAAGCTACAAAGGCAGAAAGATTCTGCTAAGTAAACTCAAATCTCCCACATCTGTTATCTACACTAACCTGTGCATCCATGGTTGAGTCCCTCTTGGGGCAAGTCTGCACATTCGTTGCTTTTTACACTGCTGAGAAATGACTTGGCACTAGCTCCAAAGATACTGAGGTTAGCCTGGCCACCCGGTGAAGTGCTCTGCTCCAGCTAAGAAATCCAGCTCTGATGCAGCACCTCTGCCCTTTGCTGGGTAAACGTATCAAGTGCAGTATTAATGTGAACATTTCTGATTCTGCTGTGCAGTGGTGGTGGTACAAAATGTAGAGCTCTGTCTGCCTCAGATCTGCTTTGTCAACACTTGACTAATGGCAGTTTTCTACCTAGCATGAATGACTTGATGATAAATACGTAATGGATTGTCAGGCAGTTAGGTATGTGGTGATAGAGGCCAGAAATAAGGAGGACCTTTGACTCTTACATTAATCCACAATGTAGTTTGCATAAGTTACATGACTGGTCCATTTTCCTTGCCCATTTAATAACATACGTATTTTAGAGTGAGGTTTTCCAAGCCACCTAGTGCATTAAAATATCTTTTTCCCCTTTCATTGCCTCTTAAGTCTCTAAATCAAATTCTTCCTGCTGCTTAGAAAGAACTCTAAAGTTCTTAGAGCTTTTACATAAGGAAATTAAGAAGTGCAAGAATAAAAGCCACAAAATGCATATCACAGAAGTATAATTATTACGGCATGATGGTTACCTCACATTTGAGTACCTATTGCCCAGAGAAGAGGAAGATGAGAAATATAGATTTAAGGTTAGAAGGTACCATTTCTTCTGACACCCTGTGTAGCTCTGACCACAAATTTCACCTGCCTATTCCAAAATTGAACTCGGTAAGCTGTATTTGGCTGCTGCACCCTTTTAAGGAAGGCAAAAAATTTTGAAGTGAAGGCCTGAAGCAGATGGGCTGATGACATGCTTTGCTGGTTTGTTCTAATGGCAGATCACCTTCTCTGTTAACAATTTGTACTTTAGTTCCCCTTTGGATCTGGCTTTAGTTTTGAGTGGCTGGGTTTCATTTTGCCCTTCTGTGCTAGATTAAAGAGCCCCTTAGTTACCAATATTTATTTTTTACAAAGGCACTTATATACTCTTGTCAGTTCAGTACTTAGGCTTTTTGGTAAAGTAAAAAGCTGAGTTCTCCAAGCCTCTTTCGCTAAGTCATTTTTCTACAGCTCTTCAATATTTTTTGTTTGTTTTCTGCACACTCCAATTTTTTATCTGTATTCCGTTCTCAGTCTCTCTAATGCCTAAGTGTGATTAAACAGTCTTCCACTTCTTATTCACCTTCCTCTGTTCATATATGTGCCAGTTTCATAAGCTCTTCTGCCATAGGAGATGATGCAGCATTGCCTAGCCCCTGTGACCACTAAATCCTTTTCACAGTTGCTAGTCTTGGGATGTAATCTTCCAGTCTATGTGCAGAGCCCTTTTGTCCCTTGTTCTTTAATGCATAAATTAACAAAATCTTACAAAAACGTATTGCACTTGT